CAATTTAATTTTTAAATATTAATACCAACCTTAATTTTTGATTTTTTTTATTATATTTTTGTTTTTGTGACAAATATTGAGACATTTTATAAAAAATTAAGAATATGTCAAAACGACGTTGACATTTCAAACCGGAAGTTGCTTATATCTCGAATAATATTGAAATTATGTCAAAATTGAGGTTGATATTTTAAATCTGAAGTTAGTTATCATATAATAGACAAATGGACAACTTCATGGTGTTCTTTCATGAAGTATTCTTTATGAAAAAACCTTTAAAATTAGCAACATAATTTTTAAATATTAATATCAACCTTAATTCTTCACTTTTTTATTGTATTTTTGTGATAAATTTTAAGACATTTTATAAAAATTAAGAATTTGTCAAAATGACATTGACATTTCAAACCGGAAGTTGCTTATATCTCGACTACTATTGGAATTAAACGTATTATGTTTGGGCTCAAATTAAAAGGTTTTTAACGAAGATTACAAATATGTCAAAATTGAGGTTGACATTTTACACCTGAACTTAGTTATCATATAATAAACAAATCGACACCTTCATGGTGTTCTTTCATAATGTATCTTGAAGAATCATCATGTTAAAACGCATTTTTTCGGGTGAAATACGATTATTTCTTAGGTTTTCGACGCACAACGATTAAAATGTCATTGTTTACCATATATAAACCAAAAATACCTGTTGCCCTACCCCCTCTTTAACTTATTGCTTCCTGAATGCTAGATACTGTTAGCAAAAGACTAATTATTGCTATCAGAAGATTAAATACTGCTAGTGAAAGACTAAAAACTGCTTCTAAAATGCTAGATACTGCAGAAAAAGACCACAAATTACTTGGAAAAGACTAGATACTGTTTTCAAAATAATAGCTATTGCTTCCAGAACACTAAACACTGCTATACAAAAGACTAATTATTGCTATCAGAAGATTAAATACTGCTAGTAAAAGACTAAAAACTGCTTCTAAAATGCTAGATACTGCAGAAAAAGACCACAATTTACTTGGAAAAGACTAGATACTGTTTTCAAAATAATACCTATTGCTTNAGATAATCGTAAAGAATTCGAATTGTTTTAAAATTAATAAAAATTAGGTTAGAATTGATAAAAAAATCGTAATAAAATTTTATTATTTTAAGGTTATCCAACTTGACTCGGTTACCATGGTGATTAAGATCCAAACATTGCAGTCATGCAGTTGCTTGTCAACATTGATGTTGAATTTAAGTTTTTTTTTTAATGAACAACACATAATTAATTGGATTTAAAGGTTGTGTTTAATTCAAAATGGATGAATGGATGAAATTATAAGCAAGGTAAGTGGATTAGATCAATTAAAATGTACAAGAATTTAGGGTTAAATAACAATTAAAACTAGAACTAACACTAGTCCTAGAAAGTTTTAGGTTTAGCCGGGTGTCTTAGAGGAATGTTTATAAATAATTTGTAGAGAATTATAATAATAACTTTTATCAAAGTCAACCTATTTTTCTACTTACAATTAAGCGGTGTAATAAAAACTATAGCATTACATTTAAAATAACGAAGTTATGGCCTACTTCCGGTAGACCGGAAGTTAAAAAACCTTAAAAATTAGTAACATAATTTTTAAATATTAATACCAACCTTAATTCTTCATTTTTTTATTGTATTTTTGTGATAAATTTTAAGACATTTTATAAAAATTAAGAATTTGTCAAAATGACATTGACATTTCAAACCGGAAGTTGCTTATATCTCGACTACTATTGGAATTAAACGTATTATGTTTGGGCTCAAATTAAAAGGTTTTCAAAAGGCTCAAAATTGAGGTTGACATTTTACATCTGAAGTTAGTTATCATTTAATAAACAAATCGACACCTTCATGGTGTTCTTTCATACTGTATCATGAAGAATCATCATGTTAAAACGCATATTTTCGGGTGAAATACGATTGTTTCTTAGGTTTTCGACGCACAACGATTAAAATGTCGTTGTTTACCATATATAAACCAAAAATACCTGTTGCCCTACCCCCTCTTTAACTTATTGCTTCCTGAATGCTAGATACTGTTGGCAAAAGACTAATTATTGCTATCAGAAGATTAAATACTGCTAGTAAAAGACTAAAAACTGCTTCTAAAATGCTAGATACTGCAGAAAAAGACCACAACTTACTTGGAAAAGACTAGATACTGTTTTCAAAATAATACCTATTGCTTCCAGAACGCTAAACACTGCTGTTAAAGGTTTTGACCTACTTGGACAGGCGGAATACTGCTTCTTCCAAGCCTACTTATTGCTTTTAAAGACTTTAATAATTGTTTCGAAAAGAGATATGCTTTCCGAAAAGCTACCTACCGCTTCCAGAATGTTAGATACTGCTGGAAAAGACGAATAATTACTTGGAAAGAAAAGATATGCTCTGTAAAAAAGGTACCTACTTCTTCCAAAATGCTAGATATTGGTGGAAAAGATTACAATCTGTTTGGAGAAGAGTAAATACTGCTGGGAGAAACTATTATCTACTTGGAAAGACAAGATACTGTTTTCAAAAGACTATTAACTAATTTCAGAATGCTAAAATATTGTTGAAAAGACTTAGAGAAAGCTAAATATTGTTGGAAAAGACTATTTAGTGCTTCCAGAAGACTATACACTGCTGCCAAAACAGTACTAAGTACTTGGAGATTACAATACCACTGGCTAAAGACTATTTACTGAAACTATTCTTCTGTTGAGTGATATCTTTCTGTGTCTCTTCTATTACAGATTTAAAAATCGCTGCTAGAACACTCGATTCTTTGTAGACGGACGACCTAGCACTAAAAATATTGAAGTTTATTCGTGCGCCTAAAAATAATTTTGATTGAGGTTGATATTTTAAATCTGAAGTTAGTTATCATATAAAAGACAAATGGACAACTTCATGGTGTTCTTTTATGATGTATTCTTTATCAAAAAAAAAACATTAAAATGAAGCCAAACATTATATTGCTAGATATCGCTATTTTGTATATAGAGATATAGCATTTTAAAGCAAATTTGATGAAGATTTAACGTTACAAATAATTCCCCATCATCTTTATTTATTAATTTAACGTGATTACAGTTTTCTATTCCAAAAAGGTACCATAATTACCAATATGAAATATAGATGGAGCTAATACAACACATTAATTTGGGATTTCCCTTTACCTGCGCAAGCGCTTACATTTAAACATTCCAAACGCGGGACACTTTTTACACCGGTTGAAGCGGACAAACTTTGCCGGCCTTCAGTTAGCGTGTACCTTCAAAGGAGGGAAGGTTGTTGCCGTTTTAGAAATGCGCACGCGATAACCGTTTTAATTTACGTAGTTTTAAGATGTGAAAAGATTGAAAGAAAATTTTTGTCGCGTTTAAATCAAGTATAGTTCCATGCGGTGACGAGGTTTTCATCTTCGTGATAACGAAGAATAAGTGGACAAGATGCCCTTCGTGCAGCGGGTGGTCGAACCGAAACACCTCGCCAGGAGTACGAGTCTTTGGACGGATGATGGACGTCCAAGAGTCTCGGATTGTGAACTTCAGGCTGTTACGAATAGCACTCTTAGTAATGCCCTTAGACAACTCGCCTCTTTGGTTTTGGCCACCGAAGATATTTTCGCACAATTGGGCGGTGATCTTCAACAAATCGCTCGAAGATCGCAACGGCTCAAAGAGAAAATGGGGTTGATTGAAGAAAAATTAGCAACTTTCGATCCAAAGAAGGTTACAGTACGTAAGTGGATAACTCTTAATAATAATCTCTGAAATAAAGATAATTTTCTAATAAAAAAAAAAATTACATTGCATTCCAATGTCAGTAAGGAGGTGCGAGGAGAAGAAAAATCGGTCCAGACTGCGCGATCCGCTGTAAACAAACCCGAAGAACGAATCGAGAAGACGCAGCCTTGACTCCAAAGAGCCGCTCTTCTCCGTTCGTTGGGTTGGACGAAACCCCGCGTCCCTCCGACGCAAGATTTAGAGGCAAGGTCACTCGGGCCTTACCTGTGGGAATGCAGCCCGTTCAAAGAACCTCACTTTACTCTCTGCAAAATGGTAGATCACCCGAGATATACCGTTTTCTTTACATCCGGTCATTCCGCTCTGTTACATCCGCTAAGATAATTAGATTAATTCATACAAGTTTGATGACCGCAGAAAATTTTTTCATCCTTAGAAAAGATTTTTAGTTTTTTTTTACCAATATGATGATGTTTAAGGTAAAGGAGGAAGCTCGTTGAAGTCCAACAAGCTGACGTGAGCTTAAAATATCGTTATGGGGGGAGAAACGACTTCCTTCCGTGCAACGTTCCGTGTCTGACATCGTTGTGTGCTTCCGATCAGCTGTCCCTTTTGCGTCACATAATGTGGTTGGAATTTTCTTTCTACCTACAACCCCTAAGGGAATGTAACCGTCGTAACGAACTTCAACTTTACAAAAAATTATTTACCTGAAATAATTAAGGTTTCTATAATTCTCTTTTTAATCATAATATTTGAGTCTTCATGAAATTCGATTAAAAAGTTCGAGACGACTTGTAGTGTTTGCAAAGGTTGTATCACTTTCTAAGTTCTTAAAGTCGAACCTGATCTGGAATTGGAAATCCCAGAGCAATTAAGATCACATTTAGACTTAGAAACTTGATTACAACAATGAAGATGAGCATGTTGAAGATCAAGAAACTGGTTATGACATGGATAAGATGAACGATTTTGGGCAACTGATGACTTAGGATTCACCAGAAAACCCCATAAGAGACGTCTAAATGGCTCAAATCGCATGATTTTGGTCCCCAATGTCGGCACTTCCCAGAGAGTTAACAATTACTCATGCAGAACATCCATTTTAGTATCCTGCAGGAATTATTTGTTGTCTATATCCATAACTTTTTGTGGATGCACTTGTTGAAGATCGTGTATGGCAATTTTGCTTTTTAACATAGCCATTCATCCAATTGTAGTCTTCTTCCAAACAAAGTCCACTCAGCCAAGAATCTTGACCTAAAGAAATCCTGACACAAAATTTGCCAAGTTGAAATCCGAGTAGTGATGTTCTTGGCCGATTCTTTGGCGTTTTTGTTGTTGTACGGGTCTCGAATTTGGTCATCAAACTTGTAAAAATTCTGACATTAAGAAGCCGATATACTACAATTAGACAAAAATAACTTATGGACACTTTTTATGTTATTTACAACATTTTTTGTCAATAACATTTTATCCCATTATTTTTATTTGCCGAGTTATAACCCATTTTAATGCTCAAAACGTCTAAATTGAGTGTTTTTAAATCCATTGAGTTGGTAATAATCAGCAATGAGATAAAATCTTTTATAGATTCTATTTTTTGGGTTATTTAGAATGTTTTTTATCCAAAACATTTAATCCCATCATTTTTACTTTCTGAGATAATCAATTTTAACTCAAATTGTCTAATTTCAGTGTTTTTTAATCTTAAATCCGTTAAGTTGGTAATAATCAATAATGAGATAAAATCTCTTGCGGGTTATATATTTTTGGGTTATTTAGAATGTTTTTTATCCAAAACATTTAATCCCATCATTTTTACTTTCTGAGATAATCAATTTTAACTCAAATTGTCTAATTTGAGTGTTTTTTAATCTTAAATCCGTTAAGTTAGTAATAATCAGCAATGATATAAAATCTCTTATGGATTATGTTTGTTTATGTTATTTGCAACGTTTTTTTGTCCATAACATTTTCTCCCATCATTTTTACTTTCTGAGTTATAACCCATTTTAACTCAAAACGTCTAATTTGAGTGTTTTCGAATTTCAAATCTGTTAAGTTGGTAATAATCACCAATGACATCAAATCTCTTATGGATTATATTTCTTTATGTTATTTACAACGTTTTTTGTCCATAACATTTTATCCCATCCTTTTTACTTCCTGAGTTATAACTCATTTTAACTCAAAACGTCTAATTTGAGTGTTTTCGAATTTCAAATCTGTTAAGTTGGTAATAATCAGTAATGACATAAAATCTCTTATGGATTATGTTTGTTTATGTTATTTACAACGTTTTTTCTCAATAACATTTTATCCCATCATTTTTACTTTCTGAGTTATAACTCATTTTAACTCAAAACGTCTAATTTAAGTGTTTTCGAATTTCAAATCTGTTAAGTTGGTAATAATCACCAATGACATAAAATCTCTTATGGATTATATTTCTTTGTGTTATTTACAATGTTTTTTATCCATAACATTTTATCCCATCATTTTTACTTTCTGAGTTATAACCCATTTTAACTCAAAACGTCTAATTTGAGTGTTTTCGAATTTCAAATCTGTTAAGTTGGTAATAATCACCAATGACATAAAATCTCTTATGGATTATATTTCTTTGTGTTATTTACAATGTTTTTTATCCATAACATTTTATCCCATCATTTTTACTTTCTGAGTTATAACCCATTTTAACTCAAAACGTCTAATTTGAGTGTTTTTGAATTTCAAATCTGTTAAGTTGGTAATAATCACTAATGACATAAAATCTCTTATGGATTATATTTCTTTGTGTTATTTACAACGTTTTTTGTCCATAACATTTTCTCCATTCATTTTTACTTTCTGAGTTATAAGCTATTTTAACTCAAAACGTCTAATTTGAGTGTTTTCGAATTTCAAATCTGTTAAGTTGGTAATAATCACCAATAACGTCAAATCTCTTATGGATTATATTTCTTTATGTTATTTACAACGTTTTTTGTCCATAACATTTTATCCCATCATTTTTACTTCCTGAGTTATAACCCATTTTAACTCAAATCGTCTAATTTGAGTGTTTTTTAATCTTAAATCCGTTAAGTTGGTGATAATCAGCAATGACATAAAATCTCTTATGGATTATATTTGTTTATGTTATTTACAACGTTTTTTGTCCATAACATTTTATCCCATCATTTTTACTTTCTGAGTTATAACTCATTTTAACTCAAAACGTCTAATTTGAGTGTTTTCGAATTTCAAATCTGTTAAGTTGGTAATAATCACCAATGACATAAAATCTCTTATGGATTATATTTCTTTGTGTTATGTACAATGTTTTTTATCCATAACATTTTATCCCATCATTTTTACTTTCTGAGTTATAACCCATTTTAACTCAAAACGTCTAATTTGAATGTTTTTGAATTCTACATCCGTTAAGTTGGTAATAATCAACAATGAGATAAAATCTCTTGCGGGTTATATGTTTTTGGGTTATTTAGAATGTTTTTTATTCATAACATTTTATCCCATCATTTTTACTTTCTGAGTTATAACACATTTTAACTCAAATCGTCTAATTTGAGTGTTTTTTAATCTTAAATCCGTTAAGTTGGTAATAATCAGCAATGACATAAAATCTCTTATGGATTATGTTTGTTTATGTTATTTACAACGTTTTTTCTCCATAACATTTTATCCCATCATTTTTACTTTCTGAGTTATAACTCATTTTAACTCAAAACGTCTAATTTGAGTGTTTTCGAATTTCAAATCTGTTAAGTTGGTAATAATCACCAATGACATAAAATCTCTTATGGATTATATTTCTTTGTGTTATGTACAATGTTTTTTATCCATAACATTTTATCCCATCATTTTTACTTTCTGAGTTATAACCCATTTTAACTCAAAACGTCTAATTTGAATGTTTTTGAATTCTACATCCGTTAAGTTGGTAATAATCAACAATGAGATAAAATCTCTTGCGGGTTATATGTTTTTGGGTTATTTAGAATGTTTTTTATTCATAACATTTTATCCCATCATTTTTACTTTCTGAGTTATAACACATTTTAACTCAAATCGTCTAATTTGAGTGTTTTTTAATCTTAAATCCGTTAAGTTGGTAATAATCAGCAATGACATAAAATCTCTTATGGATTATGTTTGTTTATGTTATTTGCAACGTTTTTTGTCCATAACATTTTATCCCATCATTTTTACTTTCTGAGTTATAACCCATTTTAACTCAAAACCTCTAATTTGAGTGTTTTCGAATTTCAAATCTGTTAAGTTGGTAATAATCAATAATGACATAAAATCTCTTATGCATTATTTTTCTTTGTGTTATTGACAATGTTTTTTATCCAAAACATTTAATCCCATCATTTTTACTTTCTGAGTTATAACCCATTTTAACTCAAAACGTCTAATTTGAGTGTTTTCGAATTTCAAATCTGTTAAGTTGGTAATAATCAATAATGACATAAAATCTCTTATGGATTATATTTGTTTATGTTATTTACAACGTTTTTTGTCCATAACATTTTATCCCATCATTTTTACTTTCTGAGTCATAACCCATTTTAATCAAAACGTCTAATTTGAGTGGTTTCGAATTTCAAATCTGTTAAGTTGGTAATAATCAATAATGACATAAAATCTCTTATGCATTATTTTTCTCTGTGTTATTTACAACGTTTTTTGCCCATAACATTTTATCCCATCATTTTTACTTTCTGAGTTATAACCCATTTTAATCAAAACGTCTAATTTGAGTGGTTTCGAATTTCAAATCTGTTAAGTTGGTAATAATCAGCAATGACATAAAATCTCTTATGGATTATATTTCTTTGTGTCATTTACAATATTTTTTATCCATAACATTTTATCCCATCATTTTTACATTCTGAGTTATAACCCATTTGAACTCAAAACGTCTAATTTGAGTGTTTTGGAATTTTCAATTTTTTAATGTAATTTTTCCAGCATTTTAATTAA